CCTATAGCACATCTAGTTTTAAATGTCTTAAATGTCCAGCAGGACAGTGGTGATGTGAGACTGGAGCACAGGAGAGGGGTTTGAGCTAGATATATAGATCTGCAGAAAACTGATAATCAGACTCATAGAAGCTTGAGATGACCAAATGAGAGGGTATAGAGAGAAAAAAGAAAAGAGAGCCCATGAGAGAAATTGTGATATGGATGATGATCTAACAGAAGAGCCTGAATAGGAATGATCAGATAGGTAGAAAGTGAACCAAGAAAGAGCAGTGTCATGAAAACCCAAGAGGGTATCCAGGAGAAAACTGTGTCAAATTCTTCAAAGAGGTCAAGAAGAATAAGTGTCAAGATGATGTCAAGAGGTGGGGCTTGAACCTACCCAGATCTTTCAGGCTCCAGGACAGTTCCCTCTCCACTAAGCCAGTACTGAAGCTACACTTAAAAAGTTTACAATAAAAGTTCACAGTCTTGTATACAATCCTTACTGTTCTCTGTATGTTGAAATGTCTATGCTTAAGTTCATAATAGGAAGGAAGAGTGGCTCTTGAGACTTGAATCCAAATACAGTGCTCATGCGCTTGTACGGCTAAGGGAGGTCACAACCTCAAGCTGTTCCATGTCTGTAAAGAGGGGCTAGTAAATGTTTACCCTACCTCACATTGGACAGCAGATGCCTGTTCTACAGAACAGTCTTTTATTCAGTCAAATATCAATTATCCACTCTATTGTAGGAATGCAATGGTAGGGATACTATAAAATTTCAATTCCCCTTCATATTTTGTTTTTTCAATGGTTCCCTGCTTCTCATCTACTTAATCTGATCCAAATATTTATTAAAAGACCCTACTATGTACAAAGTATGGTCAAACCTGCTAGAGCTTGTGCTCTGCTGGCATAGCCTTTGAGAACCCAGGGGCCTCACTACACTTACAATGAGGCAAAGGCAAAGGAGTTTGTGGGAAGAGCCCAAAGCAGTGTGGGAACAAAAAGATGATGTCTACTTTACAGGGACTGGCCTGGCTAAACTCATGACAGCCTCCACATCAGTAGACTGGCCAATAAGTAGTGAATTCTTTGGTCATAGGCCATGAAACAAGGCAATATGTAAGTAAGTGCTGGGCTCTGGGAGGGGAAAATTAAGTGTTTCAAGAATGAAGATTTTTTTTTAAAAAAATGAAGATAAATGAAAGCTCATAGACTGATAGATGATAAATTTAGAGCTGGAAAGGACCTTGAAGGCCACTGAATCCAGATGAGGAAATTGAGGCACATTGAGGTTAACTGATTTGCCTAAGATATAGTGTGTAAGGATCTGGTTTGAACCAGACTTATTGTGACTCCAAGGCCAGTGCCCTTCCAATACATCACACTGCCTATAGATGAGCTAGAAGAAACCAGAGCATGGGAATCATTAGAAAATTCTACTGCTCCAGATGTTAAAATGCTACTGTGAGAAATGTCATTAGTCTTTCTAGTAGACCTTCAGACCATCCCGAGAGAGGGTCATTGGCCCATCTGCTACCAGATCCAATGGAGGTGTTTAGACTGGAGAAGCATCATACCTAAAGGTCTGAGTCCTAGCAGGGTGATCATAAATCCATTCTGGTTCGCTGAAAGCCATGCCTGAGTAACATATAGGGAGTCATTCTGCACTGTCTAGAATACAACAAAAACCAAGGGTTTTGTTGACAGAAAGGCAAAAATATGGATTAGGCAGGTGAACCTTGCTCTCTTCATATAACTTTCCTTGCTCAATTTCATTTCTATGCCAAACATCTCCTGTGTGGATTTATTTGATGAAGTCCCTAAAGTGGAATTGTGAGACACATGATGCTGATAATGGATTAAACATTACAAGGAATTTCCAATCCTAAATCAGATAAGTCAGATCCCAGATAGTCTGGGATCAGACTTTGAATCAATTAAAACAAAAGACTTATTCTTAGCCCAGGGTACTCCAGCAGACTTTTGTCCACTGCTCTTATCTAGGAGAAGTAGCATATCACCTCAGTTATGGATTAAGAGCAATATTAGCCTTTCCATGACAATGGCAGGCTTTCTATTTACTATATCTTAGCAGAATAGAGCTGAGAGCCTAGCCGATAGTCTAGAAGAGCTACAGCCCAGAAAGGTTAATGATCATGAGACCAACAAGGAGCAGTATGATGACAATCCCAGAGACCACTGGTAGCCCTACATCACCAGGGATGTGAGTTGCCATGGACATGCACGGGTCCTGGTCAGATCCTCTTCATGTGCGTGTCCTCCATGCATGTGCCCTGGTCATACACATTTTCTCTATGTTCCCTCCTCCAGAAGCGGTATGGTAAGCTGTGGGAGAGCAAACTTCATGTGTACATGTAGGGATCCTCCCTTATCCCTTGATGTGTGAGGCATTTGATTAAATGCCTTTTGTTTTGAACTAAAGTATCCTCTGGACAGCTGGTAAAAATGAACATATCAGGATGGTTTTGTTCCAGAAAGTACCTCGAATCTGGTAGAGCTTTTCTGTGGGATCACGTGAGAAAGAGAATGCCCAAAGGGCTATGCTTAAGTCAGGCCATGGGCAATCAAAAGTAAAATATGGAAAATATGCCCCTGTGTCCTTCAATTTGGAGCTTCATACACGAGGAAAATTAAGAGAGAATAAGAGGAAAAACCAAAGTCAATTTAGGCAAGAGAAGAGACAGGTGAGGGCTATTTTGTTCCTAGAATAGGGGCAATATAATGATCATTCAGTCAGAATACAGGAAGGGACTTTGTCAGCAGAAAATGTATTTGATTGTGAAGTTACTTTAAGCACAAGCTGTTTATGTATATATGTATATATGTAAATATGTGTGTGTATGTACACCAGACTATGGAGTTTTCTCCAGAGCATATTTCAGATCTTAGACCTGGGTGACACCGGATAAATCACTTCACTTTGTCTTGTTTAAGTTTCCTCATATGTAAAATGAGAGGGTTGGACTGACTCAAAGAGTTCTTTAAATCCCTCCTGTCCTAAATCTGCGAGTCCATTTAAAATCCAGGTTAGTAGTAGAGGATTTTTTTTAAACTTTTGGGTTACTTTAGAATGGCATTATTTTGTGTTTTCCATATTTCACATGTATAAACTATAATGGATTGTTTAGTGTCTCAGAGAGGGGACAGGGATAGAATTTGGAACTCAAAACTTTTTTTTAATGTTAAAAATTGTCTTAAATAATTGGGGGGGGGGAATAAAATATTATGTTCAAAAAGAATTATACTGTTTTGGATATCAAACTGAAATTTTTCTTGATGTGAAAATATTTTGTCACTAGCTTGTTCTGTGACCAGAAGCTGGTTCCACATAAGTGCAGACACAATAGCTCAGTAAAAGAAAATGATTTTATAAGCCTGGTTTTTATGATTTCTTGGGTTTCATTCATTATATCTAAAGATATAATAACCAACATCTTTTAAGGAAATTATAGGATTTAGAGCTGGAAGGGACCCGTAACAATGTTCACCTAGTCCAAATCCTTCAGAAGTTCAGAAATATAAAAAGACTTATCCAAAGTCACACAGTTATCTAAAGGAATTCAAAGGAGACTGATCTCAGTGTTTGGCCGAAGGGCCCAGAGCAAATAGTTCCCCATTTATTAGTAGAGCAAAGAGCTCCCTATTCTCTAGAATCTCATAAAAGTTCACAAATTCTGTAATTTAACCAAACTCACAAAATCATAGGCATACTTCAAATAAAAAATTCTAGCGCATTTCTCAAAGTCATAAACCATTTTTTCAAACATTGCACCACGGATCTCTTGAGAAACTGTAGATACATAATTAGCCTTCAAGTCACTCACTGCCAGCCCAATTGAGATCCATTAATCTTGCTGGGGGGAAACTAACTTTTACCTTTCTACTTCAGAAAAAAAAAGCACTGAAAGATTTAAATTTACTTATATGGTCACTCATTCTAGGGGGAAAAGAAGGCAGTATGACTGATTAAGGCCGAAACTCCCAGAAGACATTGGCTGTAACGAATTATAGAGTCAGAAATTTAGAATTCTTTGGGTCTTTTTGATCCAGAGTTCATAGGGAATTCGGAGGACATTTAGCCTAGCCCTCATTTGTATAGATAAGTAAACTGAGGCCGAAGGAAATTAAATAACTTACCGAAGGTCAAACAGATAGTAAGAATCAGGAGGTGGCATTTGAGCCTGTGTCCCCTGATTCTTTACATTGTACCATCCTTCAAGAAAGAAAGAGAAAGAAGTCAGAAGGACAAAGAAAATAAAACTAACATAAGAAAGAGAAAGAAGCCAGAAGGGCAAAGAAAATAAGACTAACAAACATGCTCTGCTCCACGCTGGCCCCAAGGGTAGATTAAAAAAAAAAATGTCTTTCCAATGGCATCCAGAGGTTCTCCCATACCTCGGGGAGCGATAGTTACAGAAGTTGGGACATCTTCAAGATGTTAACTGCCTGTCTTAAAAAGCGATTTTCTGCGAAAATAAAATTGCAGACACTACTCAAACTCCAAACGGCCAAGGGAATGAGATCAGCAGGCACGGGCCAGATAGCGTGGGGTACGAGAAAAGGGGTGCAAAGAGAAGAGGTGGTGGAGAAGTGAAGCAGGAGCAGAGCACAGGAACCTCAGTAAGAGAAGGGATCAAGGAGCAGGGCAGTGTGAAGCTAGGTGGAGAAGAGGCCCGCACAGGGCAGGAAACGGGCTCCTGGGGCACCCACATATCCTTCACTCCTGACTGAGCGCGTGAAACAACCCTTCAGAAAAGGTCGAAAACAGTGGTTGGGCTGGAGCGCAACGTTCGCTCAGAAAATCTTTTGGAGGGACGAAAGAGGAGTTGGAAGTAAATTGGAAAAAAAAAAAACAACAACCCATCCCCAGGGGACTGGAAAGAAAGGAAGAGGTTAAAGGAGTGTTTAACGCCAAGTCGAAGGGTTGGGGGGCAGAGGGTGCGGAGTGGGGCGGTGGGGGAACCAGACACCGGCAGAGATCTTCATCCTTACCTCTCCGACGCCCCCATTCAGCGCTGAGCCAGGAAAAGGAGAGGAAGGCTCCCACTGTCAGCAGGGCGAGCAAACTCCCTTGCTTGAACCTCATTTCATAGCCCCGGCCCCCCGGGACCCCTCTGGGTCCCCTCTAGGGCCACCCCTCGGCTGGAGGAGAGAGGAGTGGCTGCTGCAGCGCCCTCGGGAGTCTCCTGTGCTCCAGGTACTGCCGCAGCCGAGGCTACCCAGTCCCGGGCTCCGCTGCCCTCCTCTAGCCCCCGGGCACCTGCCAAGATAGGCGGACCGGGACGTGGACTGAGCACTGACTCCGTCCCTAGCTCCTCAAAGAGCTTTGGGCACAGGGGCAGGGGCAACAGCCGGAACCAGGCTGAGTGCGCGGGGCGTGTGCTCTAGGGGAGCGCGCCACGCCTCCTGAGCCACTGCCCCCACGTGCAAAGAGCCGGCCTGAGCCGCGATGGAGGAGCCGCTGGAGCCCAGACTGCCCGTCTCCTTCTCTTCAATCTCTCTGCCCTAACTTTCCCATCTGCTGCCCTACCATCTAGCTCCCTAACCTCTTCTCCTTGTTGTCGTGTCGTTTTTCAGTCGAGTCGACTCTTCTGGCCCCATTTGGAGTTTTCTTGGCAGAAATACTAGAATGATTTGCCGTTTCCTTCTCCATTTTACAGATAAGGAACTGAGGCAAACAGAGTTAAGTGACTTGCCAAGGGTCACACAGCTAGTAAGTGTCTGAGGCCGGATTTGAACTCATGAAGATGAGAATTCCTGATTCCAAGCCCAATGCTCCACCCACTGTGCCACCTACCTTTCCCAACCCCCTCTCACCTTTCCTCTTTCCAGGGGTCAGGGGGAGCCAGCTCAATAGGCTCTGAGCCAATTGTAAAATTTTCACTGTAGGCATTTCACAAAGGCTATAAATCAGGGATTGATATATTGTTTTGTTGATTATTTAGTCTTAAGAAAGTCTTAATTATGTAGATTAAAATTAAAAGTGTGTCCTACATCTTTTTTTCCTCCTCAGACCTGGTTGTTAACGGCTTACCAGTATATCCCTGTCTTCTCTCCAGTCTCACCATGTCTCTGACCTTTTTGAATAAGTATTTAGGGACTACTATGTGCCAGGCACAGTACTTGGCACATCCTAGACCCTTAATAAATGCTTATTGATTTGACTTCAGTAATGTTTCAAAAACAAATATGAAACCCAGATTAGGCTCAAGGAACCTGTTTTTTCTACTGGGAAATTTCATGTTAGTAAGCCCTACCACCTGGGGTAGAGAGAGGAATCAAGAATATCTCCCCTCCAAGTTTTCCCCTCCCTTTTCCTCTCCAGCACCCCATCTCTCTCCCTAACCCCCTCTCACCTTCAACCTTACCACTGCCCTCCTTACCTCCCTCTCATCTTCCCTCCTTTTCCTCTCTAGTCCCACCATCTTCCTCCCTAACCCCCTCTTACCTTCCCTCCTTCTCTTCTCCAGTACCACCAAGTCCCTCCCTCTCAGTTACCCTGGAAATTTTACAAAGACAATCTGAAACAAAATATTTTGATATGGCTGTAATGTTTATGTCTGATTTTGAAGGGAAAAAAAGGGGAGGGATAAAAACTGTGGAAGACTTTTCCATTCAGTAACTTATGCTTGGTTTTTTGTTTACCTCTTCAAAAAAAAAATCAAAATGCCAGTTACAGAAAATTCTAAATAAACTGGAATTGGACTAAACAGAAATCCTCAATTTAATAACTGCAGGACTTCGAGTTAAGTTTTCTGGGTCTCAGTTTCCTCATCTGTAAAATATGGGGGAAAGACCTAGCTCTAAATCCTATGATTTCCCCTCTTCTCTAATGCCACCATCTCCATTCCTAACTTCCCCTCTCAAATCCCCTTTCTTCATGGTATGTCTTAATTTCCTTTTCTGGAATAAGAACAGGTTTCGGTACATCTAGGTGCTTAATAGGTACTGAGCTCAGGAACCTGGGTTAGAATCCTGTGTTGTACGCTTCATTAGCTATGTGATAATGGACAAAGTACTTTTTTAAAAGGGTTCAGAAGAGCCTTGTGTAAATGGTAGCATTTAAGTTGAACCTTATGGGATAACCTGTCCAAAGATCTAAAGAAAAGACATCAAATGTCTTGTAAGAGGAACAGGAAGTAGACCAATCTGGTGGGACTGTGGAGTGCTTGAAGAATATGTAATAAACTGGGAAAGGTCAGCTGGAGCCAGCTTGGGAAGAACTAGAGACTCCAAACAGAAGTATTTGTGTTTGATCTTACAGTGGGGATGCTGAACTGGACCATATCCTCCCCTCTCGTCCATCCCCCAATAAACTCCTGGGGCTCCTATTGCCTCCAGAATCAAATACAACATGTTCTGCTTGGCGTTCAAAGCTCTTTATAATCTAGTTCCTTTCAACCTTTCCAGTCTTCTTACACTAAGGTTTAAGAGAGTAAGCTCCCTACCCTGCACTCTTCCATCCAGTGACATTGGCCTCCTGGCTGGTCCATGAACAAAGACACTCCATCCCTCAGCTCTGGGCATTTTCTCTGGCTATCCCTCATGCCTGGAATGCTCTCCCTCCTCTGCTCTGACTACTGACCTCCCTCGCTTCCTGTATGTCCCAACTACAGTCTCACCTTCTGCAGGAAGCCTTCCCTAACCCCTCTTAATTCTAGTGCCTTGCCTTTGTTAATTATTTCCTATTTATCCTGTATATAGTTTGTACATATTTGTTTGCATGTTGTCTCTTCTGTTAGATCATAAACTCCTTGAGCATAAGAACTGTCTTTTGCCTTTTTTCCCTTTCTATCCCCAAGGCAGTGCCTGGCACGTAGAAGAAACTAATAAATGCTTTGTAACTCACTGATCCTTTGGCAGTCAGGCTAAGCCTACAGACCATTTCTCAGAATAAAGGTTTTTTTTAATTTATAAAATAATATTCATAGGATTACAAAGGAAACCAATTATATTGAAATATAGTTGCAAAAAAATTTTTTTTTTAAGTTCAGAACTCTATGTTAAGAACCCTTGTCCTAAGGGGCAGCTAGGTGGTACAGTGGATAGAGCACCAGCCCTGGAGTCAGGAAGACCTGAGTTCAAATCTGGTCTCAGACACATAACAGTTACTAGCTGTGTGACCCTGGGCAAGTCACTTAACCCCACTGCCTAGCAAAAAAAAATTTAAAAAAAAAGCAACTCTTGTCTTAGAATTAAGAGGAAGCCATTGGAGCTGGCACATAGTAGGCACCTAATTAATAAATATTAATTGAATTAAACTTTTGGGTAGAGCACAGTCCTGCAAACTTACCAGATACTATTTCTGATGTCTCATATTGCTCTCCTCTACCCCGCTCTGTTGTTGTTGTTGGTGGTGGTGCTGGTGGTGGTGGTGGTGATGGTGGTAGTGGTGGTGGTCCTTCATTCTCAAAAAAGACCATGACATCAAGGAGGTGATACCACAACATGCAAGTGAACTGGATTTAAGTGAGGGAGGGCTGTGCCTCACTTTCTCCTCCTCTAAAATACCAGAGAAATACCCCACCTCTACAATATCCATAGAGCTTCTCTTTCTGTCTCTTTATTTCTCTCTGTGTCTCTCTTTATGTTACACACACCATTCAAAAGACCAAAATGAAACCTGAACCCTAACAGGTGGGGGTGGCTTTCAGGGGACAAAGCTTGTTTCTATTTCCCTGCTACACAGAGGTTTAATTCCTAGGACCAAACACGTTGAACCCAGCCTTGCCTCAGGGACACTTCTGACCATCCTTAACAGCTTCATTGTGCCCACAGAAGCATGAGGGGAATAGAGGGTAAATGACAGAAGGAGGTCCCCAATGGCCATATTTAGCTACAGTTTTTTGAAGAAAAAAAAATGATGAGAAGCATCCTGCTGGGTACTTTGCAGATCATTTTGTATAGTGATCTAAGCCTTTGCCATCCACCATAGATTCACTGTATATCTAAATATGAAACTGTGCAAAGGAGAACCCATTGCATCTCCACTCCTTTCCAAGCCCAGAATGTCCCATTTTTAAAATGACATCAGGGCCAACCCCATGGTCAGAAAATTAAAATAGACAAAGTTTGTCTTTGTAGTTTTCTGTTTCCCTTTTTGGTGGCTTTTCTCCTTTTTCTCCCTGTGACATAGCGTCTTCAGCTGCCCATCCTTCCTCTCAGAGGAAAACTGATTTAAAAAAATTATTTCCACTAAACTATTAGGTACAATGTGATTACAGTACGAGGTAGCAGTGGTGTAGTTGAAAGAACACTAGATTTTAAATGAGGAGACCTACATTCAAATTCTTTTCAAAACCTGTTAGCCTCCAACTGGTGTGACCTTGGACAGATCACCATTAGCTTTCTCATCCACAGAATGATTAGATTATGTACCAAGAATTAGATTATTTTTAAGATTCATTCCAGCACTAAAGATCTTTAGTATTGTTCTATCCTCCAGAATCTGCACTTTAAAAGAGGATAGTAATGAGGACAATACCTCACCTGACCATTTAGGTTTCCCTGGGGCCTCAATCGGCTTTGTTCATTCAGAGACCAGTTCAACAATTTTGATTGAATTTACCAGCCAATTAAAAAAATCTATCAGGTGAGTTGTCTGAGCTGCCCAGTTTATTCAGCTGAATTGCTTTGTGCATATTTTTACATAAAAAGCTCTATGTATATTATCTCTCTGATTTGAACCTTGTACTAATCCTAGGAAATAAGTAGTATAGGCATTATTCCCATTTTACAGATGAAAAAACTGAGGCTCAGATGGGTTTAAGCAACTGACCAATGATCATGCAATTATTAAGTGTCAGAGACAGGATTTGAGACAGAAAATCAAGGTACCTGATTCCACATATCACACTTTTTTCCTACTACAGTGCCTCTGTGCAAGGACATAGGTACAGTCAGGTAATATCACTCCTTGACATTCTGATCAGGGCCCAAATACTTAATAAATAAATACTTAATAGTCACCCCTATGTCTCAATTTCATGCTGCACCACCTGCCCAACATATGTGCTGATTCTTCTCCTGCACTTGTTTTAAAGATTTCCCCAAGTCCTCATCCTTATCTTGTTCCTTTGCCTCTTAAATGATTCCCTGGGCTACTGATTAACAATCTGGCTCAATTAGACAGTGATCCCCAACTCTGCACTGCCTTCTTTACTAGATGGGAACTCTTCCCACCAGCTCCACAGTCAGGGATTAACTATCCTTGCTCTCTTGACTGGGTAAATGAGTGGAGGATGAGGGCCCCCACCCGTCCCCTCACTAA